ATATATATATATATATATTTCCTCTTGTGCGTCTCGTCGAATGAGTCTTCTCGGCTCTCTAGTCTCCAAGTCGTAGCGCGACGCGTTAGTCGCGGATATCGCGATAGCACGAGAGAGAGAGCACGGTTTAACGGCACGGCGCGATGTCACATCGATCGCGCGCGGTGGTCGAGGAAGAGGAGAGAGAGTCCGGGTGCGTGTGTGGCGAGGAGGCACGCGAGAAACACGCACCCAAGTCGGACAGACGGGACAGACGAGACAGAGACGGGGAGAGAGAGAAAGACAGAGAGAGAGAGAGAGAGAGGGAGAAAGAGGGACGGAGAGAAGACGAGATCGAGCGAGAACGCGTTAGGGAGGGAGATAGAAAATGACAGCGGTGTATATTGTATTATACCGAGATGGAGTACTCGCGAAGCACGAGCGAGACAAGTACACACGCTTTTTTGGGGTCCAAAGCACGCGCTGGAAGGCCGAGGAAGTAGTACAACGGTCTTTCACGGTAGCGCACTATTATCCGACGTTATTTTATTGGTTACACACACCGAAGATCGAGACGAGGGTTTTAACGCACTACGGGCTTAATAGCTGTCGCTAAACACCACTGGGAATCACAGGCACGTACGGAGCACACGGAGCTCAGCGTATAAACGCAGCTGGATTGTTCGTACGGGACTTTTGTTTCCTCCCGTTTCGACCTCGTCTTTTTCTTCGTCTTCGTCGTCGTCGTTGTCGTCGTCGACGAGATCGTGGTCGTAGCCGTCCACGTCGCGGCGGTGATGATCGCGGGCGCCGTTATCATCCTCCTCACGTTATCGCCGCGCGATCCCTCTTTCCTTCCTCTTCTTCTTCTCCTTCTTCTTCGCCTCCACGCTTCCACCTCTTCCTCCTCGCCACCGTCGTCGCCAACGTCGTCGACGTTCGTGCGCGAGGCGACGACGTCGTCCAAACGCAGACACCTCCAGCACCACTACTGCCACCGCCGGCGGCCCACGGGCCGTCGTCCTCTCGTCTTCGGGACGTCACGTCGTTCCTCTTTCTCTCTCTCGCTCACTCTCTTTCTTTTTCACGCCGAGTGCGGAGCAGCGCGTGTCTTATGCGTGCCGTGCGTGCATGCGTGCGTGCGTACGTGCATGCGTGCGTGCGTGCGTGCGTGCATGCGTCTGTCTGTCTGTCCGTCCGTTCAACTGAACTGACTGACTGCAGCGCAGCGTGACGCGACGCGAAGCGGAGCGCCTATCGTCGCCGACGCATCCTGCGAGGACTGCACGTAGCGCACCGATTGTTTGGAATGGCGGATCGAACGAATCGCACGCACGGTTGCCGCATCGCACGGTGTAAACGGTGTAAAAATGGCCGCGCGCCGATCTGTCTTTGGCCCACCGGAGACCAGAGCGTGTCTGTGAGCAAGCCTTCGCTCCTGTCCTCTACTTGACTGACTGACTGACTGACTGAACTCTCGTCTTCCGTTTCGTGCACACCTTCTGTACTTCCCCTTGCCGCCGTGTGTGGCGAGTCTGGCGAATCGCGCACGTATCACAGCAACACACCGTTGACGGACGTCGACGACGTCGTCATCGTCGTCGTCGCCGTCGTCGTCGTCGTCGTCGTCGTCGTCGTCGTCGTCGTCGTCGTCGTCGTCGTCGTCGTCGTCGTCGTCGTCGTCGTCGTCGTCGTCGTCGCCGTGTCGTGTCACGGGACGATGACGCGTAACGAGCGCCGTCGTTGGCGCATCGTCGTTACCTCCGGGCACGTATATTACACGTTAAATACACACCGGGGTTAAGTTACCGTGGGTACGGTGTCGTCGTCGTGAGGAGAAAAGACGGAGAGACGAGTCGATGAGCGAGAGAGAAACAGAGGGAGGGGGGAGCTGTGGGACAGAGACGAAGCGAAAGAGCCGTGATATATTCACTGATGATATCCACGGCGAAAAGGCACCACACACACCCCCGTATTACGCGCGAATTACAAGACGATTTTGCCACCCCGCTGAAACTGTTCACGTTCGGCACTGATCCTCGCACTCGCACGACGGCTGTGTATTTCTGTCATCCGTCCGCGACTGGCCCTTACCCTCTTGATCCTCTGTCTCTGTCGCGCCACCGAAGAAATATGGCGTACGCTCCGCAGACGGTGCATAAACGTACAAACGTACACACACGCACATACACTTAAACGCACGTTACACCAACACAAACGGTATACATACGTTACACAAGCGGAACAGAGAATCACCGTACGGTCTTCTCGTCTGGGGTCGTGGCTCTCGCTACGGCGCCGAGCTTTGCTCTCTCTCTTTCCACTTCTCTTCCTCATCGGTTCTTTGCTCCTCCCTTCTAGCCCTTCTCCTTCATGGCACTCGACTTTAACATTCCACCCTCTAGACGGCTAGATACCTTTCGTTTCTTCCCTAGGAGGAACGCCAGGAATCGACCTGCGAGATGACGCGCAGCGTCCTCTGCGTTTCTTATGATAGGAATTCTCGCCGCTAGGTGTCGGCACTTACCTTGCGCGAGTGGTATCGATTTTCGATGCGCAGCACGGCGCGTAATTTTGATACGATCGTGCCAAGAATGGGAAACGAGAGAACCGTACGGCGCAAATCTACTGCAGCGAGCGGCTATTAACGTCTTCCATGAATTAACGAGAGTACGTTTGGCGAGTTTAACGCCTGCTCAATGCTCGCTTCCATCGATTTTGAATCGTAATCTAAAAATTTTAATGGCAAGCAGACGTTTGTAGGTCGCGTTGTTTATGCTTCTTTTCTCGGCGAACACGGACGGGAGAGACGATAATTTTGTGATGATAATTTTATAATTAATTCTTTATTATTCGTATGGAGTGTTTGAACACCTCAACTTTCAAAATATATTTAATGTAAATTGTTTTAATTAAAAAATTTAAATTAAGTTGAAAATTAATTTTTAATAAAAAATTTACATTTGTCTTCATTTAAAGAGTATTATACATAGAATATTATTAATCTTTATTGCTAATTAAATTATAAAATAATGAAAATTAATATATAATTTTAGAGTAAAGTAAAAATACATGAATAATTTCGTTAAAAAATAACAAAAAGTAACTCAAGTAGCCTCAAGTAATGACACCTCGTTGACGTTGAAGGTGCTATTAAAACGTCATTTAATGTCGTTTTGCTACTTCCCAGCAAATCAACACGTAACTGTAACATAACTTAGGAAGCTCATGAAGAGAACAATATAACATACTTTATGATTATGGCGATATATAGATGTTGCATAATTTTGAAGATAATTTAGGAAAACAGAGATATATTTCCTCATTACGTTATATAATTTATAATAATTATTTATAAAGATAATCTAACTCAAAATAGGTTACATAAATACAATAATTGTGTTCTTCAATGATTTAATGGATGTTACATACTGTCGACATATATAAAATATATTACTACAAATACGTTGAATTTATTTAACTTTTAGGAATGTGTTTATTCAACGTTGAGGAGACGCTATTAACGGTTTTTCACTAAGAGAAAGGATTTTATTAATTTAACAAGCCATCAGTATATCTTTAACAAATGGATAAATGATAAATATGCGACAACCAAATTTTATTTGTGATTGCTGCTAGTTTGCTATATCAACCAAATATTAGCAACAGAAGCAAACTATATAGAATCTAATCTATCTTTTGAATAGACTTCAGACTCATTTACATTATAGAAATCGTAGGAGTCTTAAGAAAAAAAACTGATAAAGCCAGTCAAATAGGAAGTGTCTTAATTAGTCTTTTATATATATATGA